TTGAGACTGACCAATAAAAGGACTTCTGGTATGAACCACAGAGAAAGACGAAATTTCAACTTTTCAAGCCAGAAAATGGAGGCAGATGCAGTTTCTCCTGGGCAAAGACTGAACGAATGCAGCAATTAAGGAGACCCCACTCAGATTGGCCTGATGCCGGGTCCTGGTGCCCAATTGTGTCCTAGCTCCAGCTGTGTCACCCCGAGGGCCTGAGACCCATGCCAACAAGCCAATTTCCCTCACCTGTAAAATGGGAATGCCATTACCTGTCCCACCTTGCCTGCCTTGCAAAAGTTGCTGTGAGGGACCAATGAGGCCAGTGAGAATGGAAAAGCCTTGACAACTGTCAAGTTTTGTACACATGCACGTTGCCCTTCCCAGTGAGCCAGAGTAAATATGTCCAGCCCAATCAATACCAATGCCTACACCATCCTCAAAATTACCCTGGTTGGAAAACTCCAAGTCATTTTTTGCCCCTTCTTCCCGTATCCTCCATATCTAGGGAGTTGCCACAATTCACTGATTCTAATGCTAATATTTTTCTTGCGTCTGTCTTCTCTTTTCTACTTTCACCACCACTGCCATTGTTCTGCATCCATCTTTTCTTGGTTGGACCATTGCAGAAATGTCCTCAGTGTCCGTCTGCCACTGGTCCTTTGCTTTCCCAAATCTTCTGCTCCCAGGCCCAGGCCTGGGCCTGTCCTTGAAGAGGGACTGGCCATAACTGGTTGGAGCCAGTTAAGTATGAATATCTAGGCAGACCAGCTGATCGTTTGTCTCCTCAGCAGCCAGCCCAGTTTAGTTCAGTATCAGGTGAATAAGACCCTGCTCTAGCCCAAGGCGGTGTGACTCTATTATTTTAAGCTAATCATGGGAGTTCCATTCCCCTTGCCAGTGACTGGCATAGGAATGGACGTGGGGCACAGTTCTGGCCAAGGAGATGTGATGTGAAGACTATCAGGGGAATTCTGGGAAATATTTTTCTTGTTTTTTTTTTTTTTTTTTTTTTTTTTCCATTTTTTTAGAAATGGGGGTCTTGCTGTGTTGCCCAGACTAACCTGAAACTTCTGGGCTCAAGTGATTCTCCTGCCTCAGTCTCCCAAGTAGCTGGGATGACAGGAATGAGCCACTGCACCCAGCATTTTGGGAAAGATTATCTGGCTCTGAAGTAATTTCATACTGCTGCTTCCTGTTGGTCTGCATGTGATGCCTGAAACTGTGAACATTTTGAGACCATGTAGGGGAAATGAGGCTTCTTAATCTGATGATGGTAGAAAGGGCAAATGGAAAGAACCCTAATAATGCTGACCTGCGGAACCGATCAAACCTGGAATTGCCCTGCTCTGGGCTTCTTACAGGGCAGAATCAATGTGTGGAATGCTGTGCTGGGTTTCTGTTACTTGCAGCTGTGAGTAGTCCTATAGCTGAAAATACTACTACCACATCTATGGACATAACAGGGCATCCTGACTGGAGCAGAGCTGCCATGTGCGTACATCTGGCATGGAGGACACCTTGTTCTCCAGGGATCTGGTTGCTTGTGTTAATATGTGTGAGGCTTTTGTTTTGGTCTAGGGAAGGAGGGAGGGTTAGGGGTATATGCAAAGATGGGGAAATGAGGAGAATGGGGGATGTCAGTGATTGTCCTTTCTTCCCCGCAAGACCGTTACCATTGGTCTGCCCTGAGGATCAATGATTAGTCTGTTCTCATGCTGCTATAAAGAATTTATGAAGAAAAGAGGTTTAATTGACTTACAGTTCTGCAGGCTGTACAGGAAGCACGGCTGGGGAGGTCGCAGGAAACTTACAGTCATGGTGGGAGGCAAAGGAGAAGCAGGCGAGTCTCACATGGCTGAGCAGAAGGAAGAGAGAGAGCGAAGGGGGTATTGATGTACACTTTCAAACAACCAGATCTCGTGAGAACTCTATCAGGAGATAGCACTAGAAGGTTTGACAAGAGATTTGGGTGGAGACAC